ATACAGGACATCTGTTGTTCATACTCAGGGAAGACTTTATACTGATGAATAAGGTGACCAAGTTTGATAAAGTTTGGAATAGAATTAGTAAAGTTATTATGCACACAATAACAAATATTAACGATGACATCAATGGCGACAACAACGCCGGACAGAAATTTTTTTCCCTTAATATACTTTTCCCTTCCATCTTTGATGTTACGGGCAAGGTAAAAATGGGACCAAGAAATCAAGAAGACCACGAAGATTTTTCGGCAGTTTTTTAAGGTTTTATTTTAATCTTTTCTGATGCCTAAAAGTTTTGCCATAGTCACTGACGCCTATTCAAGAATATTGATGTTTATTGCGACTAGCGTAAATGGGTAAATCAGACAAATGGGTAAGCATCGTTTCGACAATGAGCTGTTATTCCTGTAAACAATGTTTAATTTTTCTTCGAATGCTCAGTTTATCTTTTGAAAACAACTAATTTTTTTATTTAAAAACAAATTATGCTGCTTTCCTATCAAAATCTAAGCCAAAAGATTGTACAACAACATCGGCAAATCTCTTCTGTGCTGCATTCAATAACATTAACATATTTAAATGAGCTATGGTAATTTGAACACATTGGCATCATCCATCATTTTCATTGGTTAATTATCGATTTGACCTATCAGGTCAAAGAACACCGTCCCAGGTCAAAACATGGCGGATATTCATAATTCGCTTACAATTAAATAAGTTGAAATTTATTTGCATTTCATAAAAATTCAACGAATTAATTTTTTTGCATGTTATTATAATCATTACTAGGTAATAATCAAATAATCAACAATTGTGAAAAGCCGTATGTTCGGATTGCGCTGCCGCAATCATTTGCTACTAAGCATTTTTATTTGAAACTTTTTTTAGAATATACTTTCGTTACTAATAAAATGAAACAAAATAATTATATTTGGCGCACAAGGTTCGTTAATGTGATTTTTCAGAGAAAGATGCGCGGTTTACTTTTTAATCCAGCAAGAAAAAAATATATAAAATTTTAGATTAGCTTCTGCAAATAGTTTCTTTTGTTTTGGGTGGTCCAACTGCCGGCATTGAAAATCGGCGTAGGTGCATTTTTCAATGAAAATATAAGCCCTCTAAAAATATTTGAACCCTAAATAACCACCCAGGACGATTTTTCGGATGGGCGAATTTACGGCAGAATCCGGTATTTGATGCTATTTTAAGTATTGAATACCCTTTCCTTTAACCGTTTTCAACAACATTTTATTTATATCCATGGGACTGAGCATTGATGTTCAATAATATGATATGAATAAACTGTAGCAATGTTTTCATCAAATTCACTGGTATTGATAATGCTATAAATTAATGACTGATAAGGCTACCATCAAATCAGTGGACCAACATACACGAGACATGTACCTACCTCTCCTCTGATGATTTCTGGTTCCAGGATATGGCTTTACCACCAGGAATGTAACTAAAAATATAAGCAGCATCCTCATAAAGTCACACATATTATAATAATAATAATGTACTGTCTTAAAATATATACTCTTCAGCTCCATAATAACATAGGCTATGACTATTTTCACATTGTTATGGTTCATGTACATTTCTTTGCAATGAAGTAAATGTTGAGAAAAGCAATGAAATACAAACTAGTATTAACAAAACAAAAACATCTTAATAGGTGGAATTAACTAAAGTAGAGCTGGTCTTGTCTGCTTCTCAATGTAGTTGTGGCGCTGCATCCTGTTCCATATGGGACTCATAGCGACATACACAACACATGTGAAATACATTGTTTGTCATTTACATAATGTTCATACTGCATGATGACCACCGTCCTTTTCAAATATACTGAATGAGTGTATATGCATATTAATTTCAATTAAATGTGATATCCTACCTTAATAATGCTGGATATGATCCATCTGGTTTAGTGTCATTAAGAATAAAGTTAACAGGCTCAGTATCATCAATAACAATACAGGATCCATGAAAACCTGGGGAAAACAATAGGAAAACAATAGGAAACAATATAATCAGTCAACATTATTACGACCTTGCACATTGACAATATTGACAGTAAACAACAATCATGGAACCTTGAAATAGCTCTGCTGTGAGTATCCTCTTCAAATCAAAGTTACTAAAATGTTCGGCACAACAATATATTAATTATTCGCCATGGTTATTGTTCTTACATCCATGGTAGTTGCCATGGTTATTGCTCTCACATCCATGATAGTTTATCTATAGTACCAACATACCATGTATGAAAGAAATTTTAAAACAGCATGATTTACCAAAAATTACAAAAATACTTGCCAAAAATCAACTTAACTGTACATAAAAAAAAAAAAAATTAATATTCATGTTCCTCAAAATTTAGTTTATATATTGTATAAATCTCAATGTCCCTCATAGAATACTATAACATGAATTGTATAAATGATAGCAAAGCACATATCTAAGAAAAACTTGGCAACAAATATATTTGCTTACATACATACATACATATACTGTATTGATCTTAATGTACCTTATAAAATAATATCCTATGAATTGTAAAAGTTTCCAAATAATTATGCAGTGTCAGCAAGATTCCAGGGACAGCAGTGACGACCACCAAAATACATGCAGAATAAAAAATCATAGCATAAAGTGCAGGACTGAACCATTCTTAATGAGCATGCGTGAGTGACAACACCTCTCCTTTGTTAGCTCCGCCGAGACTTGAGCTCAAACTTGATTACTTTGTGGTTATACTGGTCATAATGCCTAAATAACTTAATAACTAAGTTTATCATCGAATACCAAAATGACAAGCGAAATACCAGCAAGAAATACACATTCAAAGGGAAAGAAAATCACTGACTACGGAATAATGCCAACATCGAAAGCAGTGGATGACATGGAACGCGAGGCAACACATGGGACTGATGGTGAAGAAAACATACAAGAAGAGTTGGGTGAGTCTACTGAACATGACAATATCGATTTTAAAACATTTGTTTGCCAATGTCTTCGTCGGATGGAAAATAAATTAGACTCGTTGCTAAAGACTGTGCTACTTTAGTGAATCGTGTTGTCACGCTTGAAGAACAATACTCTGAAACTATAGCAATCACCGATGAGTTAAAACATCGAGTTGATGATTTAGAAGAAGAGACTATACAACTCAGAACAGAAAACAAGAACTACAAACATCAAGTACAAATGTTTAAAACTGGAAATCACAACTTGAAAGAGGATGTATTACAATTGAAACGGTATTCGCATAATTACAACCAGCGCTTTTGTGGTATTAAAGAAACGCCAAATAAAAACCCAACGGAGCTGGTTGCGAATATATTAAAGGAGCGCTTTAATCTTGATGGGGAAAATGCGGTAATAGAAAATGTCCACCGTGTTAAAATGCGCAAATCTGTCAATGGTCATCGCCATATACTAGTAAAATTTATCTACCGACCACAGCGCTATGCGATTATGAAATTAGGCAAAACAGGCTTTGAAAGACACACCATTATATATAATGGAAGACCTTCCGCGGGAAGACTTTCTTTTGAAGAAAAAGCTCCGGCCGATTATGGACTCTGCTTTTAAAGCTGGGAAGAAGCAATTTATCCGCCGAGGTCAACTACTGTGGAATACTTTATTTTCACTGGAATTAATTTTCGCTGAAAAGGCTTTTTGGGCATTTTGTATGGAATTTATTTTCACTGATTTTTGATGAGTTTAATGTGAAATATAGGAAAAAAAGTATATTCGCTGGATTTTATTTTCACGAAATCATCCCTTCAGCGAAAATAGCAATAATAAATTCCAAGCGAAAATAAAGTATTCTGCAGTATATATAGACGGAAAACTATACAACCACAAAGAATCAACCTAAATAACATTATATAACTTTTGAATATAACAATGAGCTTTAAAAACAGAATTGTTTTATAGGAGTAACATGCTTTTTTGTTTTACTTTGTGTGTTTGAAGCTGTGTCGTTGTAGACGTGACTCTTTCTTTATTGTAACAGTTTTTTATTTGTTGTGTGTTTAATTTTTTCTTTTTTTCTTGCAGACCGAAAATTTTTCGTTGTATCATGTAACAAGCTTATCGGAATGTGTGGAGGGTGCGCCACCTAGTAATGCATAATGTTTAAATTTTGTCTCTGGAGCTTTTGTTACTTAATCAGAAACACAGTGACGGGATTAAAGGGATATCTATTGGTGGACAACAAATTAAAAGCTCAGCCTATGCCGACAATCTTACCTGCTTTGTCGCAGATGTAAAATCGGGCGAAAATCTTCTCTCTCTTTTTAACAAATTTGCACTGGTTTCAGAGTTAAAGGTCAATTATGAAAAAACTGAAGCAATTTGGTTGGGCAGATGGCGCTTCCGTCAAGACAGACCGTTCGGGGTGAAATGGCCTATGTCTCCTATCAAAATTGTGGGTGTCTTCTTTTCCTATGATGCTAGAGCAGCATATGAAATGAACATAAATATACCAATAAAGTGCTTAAATAGTGTGTTGCAATGCTGGTCTAGACGTAGTTTGACAATTATTGGCAAAATTCAGATTATTAAAACTTTTGTTATTCCAAAATTACTATTTATTTTCAACCATATTCCAATTCTACAACGGGAT